AACCACCGCCACCACTATTATCACCACCACTTGCACCACCGCAACCACCACCTCCGATTCCACCAAAACCACCACCGCCACCTGCGATTCCACCACAACCACCATGCATCATACCGGTGTATCCTGGTATAATACCTGCAGCGCCATTGTTGATATTCAATGGCCGTCTACTTGGTGTCCCTATTCTGGGGTGAAAGAAAGTACGTATTCTACTAAGAACACCATCTTGCTTCATAGGAGATGGTGAATAAGATACCGGACGATGCATTCTTATATGCTGATGTGATAATTGAGGTCTCGGATATCGAATTCCATGGAAATGATGTGTACCATGTGATGGTCGATATGGTTGACGATGACAGGAATGCTGCATATATTTTGTAGTTTATTTTATGATTTTGTAAGGGATGTTATATCACTGTGTATATATATACGGACAAGTAATATACATTTTTTCTCTTTCTCTTTTTCTTTTTATTACGTCAGAATACACAACATACACATGAAATAGTAAAACCATATGCTTGTTATGACCTCGATATATTTATCGTCCCACATATGTGTTTTACTTCATAAGCTACGTATAGAATGAGTCATGAAGGACGTAGCGAAACGTAACTAGGTAATCGGAAGAATCATTGTAGGAGTGAGTGTGAGTGTGACTATTATATCCATCAAATATCCACGCCCACACCCTCAAGAGAACGCTGAGATTGATAAATGATATATTTTTTTTTATCACAGTCACATAATTGAGAACAATGGATTAGTATTGTTATAAATCCAGTTTATGTCGAAATTCATTAACTGATTGATAGATCTAATTAATCTTCGTTCAATTTATGCTCTATTATAACTACACCCGATTAACATTTTTCTATTGATTCGTGTTCTCAACTAAAGTCATCAAGTTTAGTACAATTTTTTCTTCTCTTTTATTTATTTAAAAGAACAGAGAAATTAATTAAGAGAAATGGAACAGGTTGTTGTGAGATGAATTGTACAAGTATCCACAACCATCTCAAGCACCTCCGCCTCCTCCACAACCACCTCCTCCACCTCCACCACAACCACCACCTCCACCTCCACCACAACCACC